CGTGTTAACTAGAAAACTTATCTCACACATTTACCTGTCTTCCTATCTGACTTCGCTGCACGTTCTGTTTAGTTTGTTTTCCTTAACACCCGTTGGGGAATCCAGGCTTAACAGGAATCAATGTATACAAAATCAATGACATAGGTGACCATCATTCCTTGCTTTCAATACTACTTACACCTTATTAGAGGCTTATTAGAAACATTTGGTCAGGATAAATCTCAATCTGTTTATTCTTTGGGACAGTAGCTAATTTACGATACTTGCTAAATACCTTTTAATCTTAGTTACTGACAGACAAGTTAAATATTACCTGTATCAGGCACTTTGCTTTTTATAGCAATTTCTCCATAAAATTTGTTAAAGATTTCTCCAACCTTCATGTCTACCATTGCATACGATGATTGTAACTTTTGAAGCAGCTACAAAGATATTCAACATGTCAAGGGTTAGAATGGTAAATAATTTTTTTTAAAGCACAGCAAAATATAAAACAGTGCCATTGATTTTACCTTGATCAGTAGCTCTAGAGCTGGGATTCCACATTTTGCTGATCTGTCTTTTGTATACACAGTAACACATATCCTCTAATTTTTAAAAGACAAAAAATATATTATTATATAGTAACAATACAACCAAAAATCCTCTAACTTAAATATGGAATTGGTGAGGTAATTGTTCCTCATTATTTTACTTCATTCAAAAATATTAAAACTGCCCAAAGATACCAATGCAAATTTGCAAATTTTGGACATTAGAATATTTCACATTGCTCAACTGCATTAATCAAAAGCCAGGTTCCAGGAATGTCTTTTCTATACATTTGGGGCTAAATTAAATCTTCTCTTTTCAATATTTGAGAGTATTCATAAAAAGACATCCATTCAGAACATCCCAGTGGTAAAAACAAGAGAATGTGAAATTGATAGACATCTATTATTCTATTTGGAATCATTAACAATATTAGATTATAATTATAATAAATCCTATTAACATTAATATTAATATAAGATTAAAACAATGTTAACAATATTACAATAGTACAATTTCTAGACTGAGACAGTAGGTTACAATCACAATTGATTGCTCACACCAGAGGTGGTATTCAGTAGGTTCTGACTAGTTCTGGAGAACCGGTAGCGGAAATGAGAAGAAGATTGGAGAACCAGCAAATACCAGCTCTGACTGGAGATTTTATAGTATCCTTTCCCTGCCACGCCCACTAAACCACACCCACAGAACCTGTAGCAAAAAAAAATAAAAAAATGGAATCCCACCACTGGTTCAGACTCAGAAAGACCAGCATGCTACAGACTTTTATACTAAAAGGGCACATTCTGAAGATAAATTATGAAATTAAGATGAAATATAAATCATGTTTCCTATTTTCCCGACTTCCATCCATAATACAATTTTTACATCTAATCTGTTTGGAAGTTCTAAGTTTTCATTTGAGAAACTTTAAATATTTCTCGTGAAGTATAGGTAAGTACCGATATCATCTCATATTTGAGTTTCAACTGAACAAATAATTCAAGAATTTCATGGAAACCATTAGCTTTTAAAATTAACTATTAGTATTTTAATCCTAACATTAATTCTACTTTGCTTAGCAAAATTATCTACCGTGTTTCTCCAACAATACGGCCTCCACCAATAGGAAGGCCCAGCATGTTTTTTGGCATAAAATCAAATTAAGCCCCTCCCCCCAAATTTAGGCCTATTTTAAAACGTGCAAAATAAGGGGGAAGGGCGTTAGGAGCGCCCCGCGGGCAGCAATTCCTCACCACCAGCTGCTCCTAATGGGTGATCATGGCAAAGCGCAGAGAGCTCCCTACTCCCACCTTTGCTGCCACCTTTGGCACCCGCCGCTGTTGCTTTCCCTTCTGCCCATTCCGCCGCTACGTTTGGAGCTGCCGCTTCCTGTTTGGAGTGCCGCCGCCATTTGGAGCTCCAAGCACGGCGGCAGCTCGAAACGCGGAAGCGGCAGCTCCAAACATGACGGCGGGCAATTTATTTTGGTCCGCGCGAAGTTCAGAGCAAGCAAGCGAGGGAGACTGCGATGCCTCCATCCGAGATGGCAACCTCACTAGTGGATCACAACGTGGCTGGAAGCCTGAATCGGCGGAAAACAATGGCGATCTTTTTGGAGCGAGAGGAAAGGGAGAGAAGAGTTGCGAGTTGTAATTTGCAGGAGGAAGTGGGTATATCCCACGGCAGGGAGCCCAAGGAAGAAGGGCCGGTAGGCAACGGAGAGCATCCCGTAGCTCCAGAAGCAGCCTAGAGACGTGCCCGGGAAGAGGAGCAGATGCTGCCTTGTAGTCCCCAAACCAACTGCGTGCGCCGCCTTTAGTTATGTGCGCTCCGCGCTTTGGGCATCTCCGTGTGATCGCGACCCTGTCCTTTCCACCTGGCGCCCTTGCTGCTTTCTGGCTCTTTAGCAACCAGCTTCGCGTTTGGAGCACTGCCGCTGTTTGGAGCTCCAAATGGCGGCGGCGGCAGCTCCAAATGCAGAAGCGGCAGCTCCAAACGCAAAGCCGGTTGCTAAAGAGCCAGAATGGGCAGAAGGGAAAGCAACAGCAGTGGGTGCCAAAGGTGGCAGCAAAGGTGGGAGTAGGGAGCACTCTGCGCTTCGCCATGATCACCCGTTAGGAGCGGCTGGTGGCGAGGATGCAAGGGGGGGAATTAAGTCACCCCCCGAAAAGACGGCCTAGCCGTTTTTTTGGGGCTCAAAAAAAAATAAGGCCCGGCCTTATTATGTGAGAAACACGGTAGTTTGACATTAAAAAAATGTAAAATAATTTTCTTTCACCTACTTTTACATCTTGTGCATAAGGCTGAATTTTGGGGCCAATCTTTTCCACAAAGGCAAGAATAAATTTTAATGCTTCTTCTCTGCATTCTCTAAACTAAAAAAAAATCATCTTCATTAAGAATTCATTCAGGCAAAATAAGGCTTCATATCAGTCTTATGAAATAAACATTATACACACACACACATATACACACACACATTGCAGTCTCAGATCATTTAATTGCTACACACAGCTTTTGAAGAAGCAATTAGAATAACTGCCAACATTAACAAAATGTACCTAATTTGTCTAGAAATAATATTTAACAAGGCTAGATTATTTAAAAAGTAGTTTCAACCCTAGATTTTTAACTTACATCTTCAACACCCAGCGACTTATAAATAAATGATAGCAGTCCATTTTCTTTAGAAAACACCAGTGAAATCTGCAAGGCTGAGAGAAGAATAAATGCAGATTAATATTTTAATGAATTAAACAGGTAATCCTTAACTTACAACCATTGGTTTAACAACCATTCAAAGTTATGACACTGAAAAAAGTGACATGATCGGTCTTCTCATTTATAACCACTGCAGATTCCCCATGGTCACATGATGAAAATTGGGTGCTTGGCAATGACCATATATTTTGATTTGCAGTGTCCCTGGGTTACATCATCACCCTTTGTTGCCTTCCCAGCCACCTTCCAACAAGCAAAGTCAGCTTGTGAAGTTAGATTCACTTAATTATGCATGATTCATTTAACAATGGCAGTGATTTGCTTAACAATGGCAAAAAAGCTTGTAAAATGAGGCATAACTTATTTAATGGAAATTCTGGTCCCAACTGTAAGAACTACCTGCACTTCCAAATGAAGGGTTACAGAATATAATATTCTATGAATGTAACGAAGAAAATACATGTCATATTGGGAACAAGGATCATGCTCTCGATTCTCCACATCACAGATGCAGGGAAAAATCTAAATGCAGTGTAAAAAGTTGAGGCAAGTTATTATACATCATGCTAAACTAGTGGGGAATCTGCTACCCTGAAATGTACATAACTATACATCTGCTGGAATTGGATTATGTCTTGTTTAATGAAAAGGACTGGGGTGACATGATAGCAGTGTTCCAGTATCACAAAGTATTCTCCAAAGCACCTGAGGGCAGGGCAAGAAGCATGGATGGAAATTAATCAAGGAGAGAAGCAATCTTAAGAACTAAGGAGAAATTTCTTGACAGTGACAGTGGAACAACTTGCCTCCAGAAGTTGTGGATGCGCCAAAAGTGGAGGTTTTTAAGAAAAGCTTGGACAAGCATTTGTCTGAAATGGTATAAGGTTGCCTGCCTATGCAGGGGGTTTGGAATAGAAGACCTCCAAGGCCCCTTCCAAGATCTCTTCCTGTGTTATTCTATATTCTACTCTACTAACTCTTGCCAGCCTTCCTATTAGCCATTGTGACTGGCCAGTCATTTCATTCTCACAAACTTTCTCAGATTACACCGAGAAACAGCAAGAGATCAGAAGCACCTAGTCAAACCCCAGTCCAACAAACATTCTCTGTGTTTCTCAAGCTCAGCAATTTTAAAGACTGCAACTTCCAGAATTCCCCAGATAGCATTCTAACATCTAACTCAGGAATTCTGGGAGTTGAAGTCCTCAGGTCTTCACAGTTGCTGAGCCAATGAAGGTTTTTAACCTATAGCTGCTGTTGCTTCAGAAACCAAATTGTTCCAGCAGCTTTATCAAAAAATACCAAGATCGCAATAGCTTTGTATATCACTTTTTTGAGAACCTAGCCCTGCAAAGCAGCTTATCGTAATTTAAATAAACCTCCTTTTGTTAAAGAATGCCCTAAATAAAATGTTGTAATAGGTATCTGCATAAATCGATTTAAGTTCGCCCGCACAACTCATTCCTCAGAAGGTTGCAACCAAACAACTGTTTCTTGTTTAGTGAACAGCGTTTGGGAATGCAGGAGCTAAGCAATTCTAATTATCCCTACTTCCCAGAGCTGCACGTTCATAGTCCTGGTCTGCAATTGTTTTCCCGTCTGTTTCACCTAATTAACTACCACTGAATCTGGAGTAAACCATCTGCTTCCGGAATGGATCCATCACCACCGTTGCAACATTCCGAAGTAAGGCTCGCTGAATAAACAATGCGTCGCTTGCATTTACACTCCAAAGCCCTCATTCCACTTGATCACCACCGAAGTTTGCTTTTCTTTTCGTTTTTTAAGGAGCCCCATCGCCGAGACCTCTCAGGTCACGGCTTGATCAACGGTTTACACACCCAGGATGTCGTCTCCACTGCTAGTGACACACGACTCCGCTAAAGAGCGAATTAAGCTGCAGCCCTGGAGCGCGGCGCTACTGGTGTCTGAGCTCCGAAGGGCGTCGTGCAGCTGCAAAAGGAAGCCCTGCAACCCACCGCCAGGCACTACAAGGGAGGACGCCATGCCGCCCACCGCAGCATCTACAACAACAGGAACCCGCTCGGGCTCAAGAGGGAAGTGGAGAGAAGCGGACGAAACCAAGTCCACCTCCGGACGGAGGAGGAACAAAAGAGGAATAAACCAAACTCAGGCGCGAGGAAACACGACGGGGTTTGGCTTTAGCAAGAGGAAGCTGCCTGTACATTATTACTAGATTAAACCATTGCCGCCTGAAAACGGAGGGGACAATCTGGTGTAAGATTACGGCGCAAGGAAGAAGAACACTCTTATTCGCTTGGTCCTGTCGTGACATTAATTAGCATACAACGTTATACAACCCTCCTCCTCCCTTGAATTTAATTGGATATTACTCCATAGCAGGGAGATTCTTTGAGACAGGGCGATACCAGTTGAACATAGAGGGAACTCAACATGGGAAAAAAATCCCTTGGAAGGGTACGCGGCCTTATGGTTTGGTCAACAGCCCCTTCCACCAAGACGACGAA